TTCAACTCCTTCACGAGTAATAGGAGCATTAAACAGAGATGTTGGCAGCACAGTTTGGCAATGGCAGAAACTGTCACAGCAAAGTTAAAAAAGTAAAATGTGCATGCTAATGGGGCAGTTATCCTAAACTTACATTCCATGTAAGTTTCTACAAAGCTTCTATGAAAACAGATAGGAATTAATTAGAACAAATACCCTGTAAATACAAGCTGTTTATATATCCATGGGCTATATAACTGACATTATTATATTCTTGATACCTTTTGTATTTATTTTATGTACTATTACTTCCATGATCACTATACTCTAAGTCAAAGAAAATCATTCACAAGTAGTGCAATCATCAAGATTTAATAAAAACACAAGAGTCACTCAGCAAGTAAAAGTAGAAAAAACAACAATGGGAAATAATTGCTAGTATAAGGAAGTGAAAACATAGCAACAGTGCTAATAAACTGGTTGAGTTGAAATTAGTTTTATACACTGCAACAAATATTTGGTGAAAAAAAGGAAGAGAAAGCCAGGTGGCGCTGCTTTCATCAGGCAACATGTCTTGCAAGGAAAAGCCCTTATGTTTATATGAGGTTTTGGAGATAGGAACCAGAAGAGAGAAATATTTGCAATGTCTTTCTGATAGTCTGCCAGTAAAACAACAGAAAATTTGTATTTTTACAGGCAGCCCTCACCATAACTGCAGAGGGGAATACAGATCACAGAGAGAATTAATGTCTACAGGTTCTGCTGAGGCCACTTCAAGGTGAAACAGATTTTAAAATTTCCTTATGTATCATATTTAATGGTTTCAGTCCAGTCTAGTCTATAGGCTGAGATTTTACCACATCCCAAAGCTGTCAAGTTTTTTTAATGTCAGCTTTAAAAGCAATGCCAAGGAGTCCAACAAAGCCAACTATCCTTCTCTGGTTCAGCCACAAGCTACTGAGCAAACTGGGAGTGGTGCTGCATGAAATTCAAGCAATAGGGATTTCTGGCCACAAAATTCCATCTGGGCTTGAATATCCTCTTACTATTTTAAACTGTGTGTCAGTAGTAAACAACAATCTGTGTTTGGTACCTATCTGGTCACTTTAAATCATCCAGACCTAAAGATTTCATGTGTTTTTCTTTAAAATTCAAACAAACAAATGAAAAGTTATACTGTCAAATTCCTCACTTTTCAAAAAGCTTCCGTCTATGAATCTGGCAAAAGAAAGCATGGCAGGGATGGAAATTTATATTTGCAAATTCATATATTGGAATATTATCATGACAAAGAAACTACCAAAAAATGCTCAAAGGCCAATGAGCATGAGCCAGCCCTAAATCACCTGGTGTGGCCTCACAGCTTACCCTACTTGAGCAAAATGTTAGGCTAGCTGACCTCCTGATGTTTCTTTCAACCTGGATTATCCAGAGAATCTAGCAAAAACTTCCAGAAATTCTGGAAAAAACAGCCTTAATTAGGAACTCTTTCTAGAGAACGAAACCAGCCCCTCTGCTTGTACACTCCAGACACGTGAGTTCCCATGCTGCACACACCAGTCACACTCACAAGCCTGTTTTGCAGTATTTATGGGCACATGCAATGCACATAAACTTATTCCATTGCACACTGTGGAACCTGAACTCAGTCTTGAGAGAGCACAAAAACCCCAAAAGGGATCAGGCCCTACAGCCCTGTGCACAGACACAATGCTACAGCTACACAGCAGCTCTAAAAGCTTGACTGATGCTGCAGAACTGGGACAGCTGGCAAACATCACCTGGGTTTTTGTAGTTGTATTTTTTTGGGGGGTTGTTTGCTTTGTTTTGGTGGCTTTGCTTGTTTGTTTGTTTTGGAATTTGTATGGGATTTGGTGGTTTTGTTTGGTTTGGCTTGGTTTTGGTTTTTGGTGGGTTTTTAAGGTTAGTAATATTAATAAAAGACACAACAAATGGGAAGAGGCTGCACTGGGTAATGAAGGCTGCTTCTTTCATGCCTTCCCTCTGGGCCACTGCAGGGCAGGAGCTTGGGCTCCTGGGGGCTTCTTTTTCTGCCTTCCTCTCTCCCTCCTCTCCCCATGCATCTTGGAAGCTGGGAACCACTCCTGAAAACATGAGTCTGATACAAAAGAACCCTTGGAACAGCTAATTTATTTCCTTTTTTCCTTTCCTCTTTTCTTTTTTTCTTCTTTTTTTAAATGCATTTCAATAGCATGCATTGTTCTATGACTTACATTTGGGAGTAATTCCATACACAAAGGCCTTTTCATTTAACTAGATTAGTCTTTTCATTGAATTACTCTTTCCCAACAGTAGTTCTAGGGTCTGATTCTTCTCTTATTGACCTGGTTGCTGACAAGTTATGTGGGGACATACAATTCAGATTCACACCTGTAATGAGACCTGGCATTTTAAACAGATGCATTCTTTAGTTTGGTTTACAGATAACCTCCTTCCACTCCCTCTTCTAGACCACTGCTCCACTGCTGCACAATCCTGAAAAATACATTAGGTTTGATTTTTCTTTGAATTCTTTCTTTTGGGGTATATTGCTGCAAATGGGTCATCTCTGGCCTATCACTGCCCATGCATTTGATGAAAAAAGTTTAAATTCACCTTTCAAAAGTAAACATTAAATCCAAGATTTGCACATAGATGTATTTAAATCATTCTCCATCTATTTGATATAACAAAATCTATTAAAAGAATTCATTAATCATAATAAAGTTTTGTTGGCTAGAATGAAACAATGACAACACAGTTCAGGAACATAAATGCAACTGATTCCTGGTCTCATTCATTACCTAGATTAAGATTCAGCACCTCTGAAGTGAACTGAAGTACATCCTCTAAAAACACACCACCATCTCCTAAACACTATGTTGTTTGTGGATTTTGTAAGAAACCGCTAAGTTACGCAGCTTCAGGCACATGCAAATGTGATTTTCTGAGCAAGACACTTTACCAGCTAACAGAAATCATTAACACACCGTTTTAAAAAAGACAATGCTCAAGCACAGCAGAACTTTTATACCAGGCTTCCCATGCCAAATTTGCAACTTTATATACCATTTCATTTCAGCTCCACAATTTCCTCAACAAATTTTGCAAAAAAACCACATCCTCTAATTGCACTAGCGCGTAAATATATACACATATATACACATATATATATGCTGTGGTTAAAAAAGGTGCAGAGACTCTACCAGGACTTTTGAAAGAAGAAATTAATATATAGAAATAGACTAACCTATGCAATTTCAGCCAGAAAGTATAACAGCTATGAAGTCTTTAAGACCAAGGATAAAACCAGGAGCTTTATTTCCTGCAATTGAGTCTCTTCTATCCAAATTCTTGGCATTTCTTTCCTGTTTTAAGTACAAGGCTGCACCTATTTTCTCAGCTAGCATTGTGTTGTCACTCTTGCTGAAGCAGGGAAGGTGCAGCAGTATAAGCACACCCCAAAGCAGGCATTCCAGGAGGGAATTAATAGAAGGCTTAAGCCAGGAGTGCCAGATCTCCTCAGGAAGCGTGCTCCAGAATTAGAGAACAGTACAGCCACCTGACAACCTGGCAGGCTGTCATAATTTTCTAAAAAAATATGTAAAAAACTGATCATCAAACTCTCCAGGGAGGAATGCCAATAATTTGTGTAAAGGGCCAGGCTGGGGGATCACACAGCTGTCTCTGAACACGAGGTTTGGAGTCAGACAACACGCTGCCATGCCATGCCATGCCATGCCATGCTGGGCCCAGGCACAATCCTATGGTCTCCAGATGACTTGTGGCCATGCTGCAAATTTGAACTTCACATTCAGATGAGATACCCATGAGCACTCCCAGAGCCATCGGGTCCCTCTTCTCCCTAAAATCAGCCCTGCCAGGCATAGTCTGACTGACATCTGCACTGCAGACACGTTGGCTGCCCACCAAACAGCAGCCAGCATTCCAGAATATGGAACAGCAGTTTGTACAAGGCAGAATGGAGCAGCTGAGAGGCTGATTCAAGTGTACAAGTGATGTGCTGTGAACACAGCACACTGCACAGCAATGAGGGACTGTGTGGAGGGCAGCAAGCCCAGGCGAAGTGAGCACTACTGCACAGAGAAGTCCTTTGTCTAATGGGTAGTACTTGCTCTTTACAGAGAAAATTAACTACCTTACACTTCTAAATGCATCAAAAAATAATCCAAAAGAGTATTGGTAAATTGTATATTCACAGTAAGAGCATTTTCACAAACTCCAGACATCCCCATTTTAATGCTAAACAACTTGCATAGATGTTTCTGCTTATTTCTACATAGGAGCTTACTCATTTCCTTCTGGCACAAGTCCACACTGCTGGAAACCTTCTCTTTCTCATAAAGTCTGTTCCAAACATGTGTGTGCCAAGAAAGGCATCTTAAGCAAAAAAAAAAAAAAAAAAAAAAAAAAAATTATATATTTATATATATACATAATCATTGGCTTCAAGACTTTAAATCCAAAATGGAAAAATGTGATTGCTGAAACTGATCTTCCCAACAACAGAGGCTGGAAATTTCCTTATTTGCTTCAGGTATTAAGCCCACACCAGTTGCATGTGAGCAAGCAAAACCAAAATCAGAGTCATGGAATGTTTTGGGTTGTAAGGAACCACAAAGATCGTTTTGTCACAACCCTCCTGCCATGGACAGGGAATCTTTCACTAATGTCTTTCCAGAATGTCTGGAAAACGTTCTGAAATGTCTTTCCAGGTCCTGCTAATTAGGAAGGAAGGGCACTATCCTTTGCCTCGATCATTGGCTTTTCATGAAAGCTCAGAGTAAATAAAAATATTCAGGTCACTTTCAGGACTCTGATATTGTCAGAACCGTTGATTCCTCGGGGCCCCGGGCCGAGCGCGGAGCTCCGCCGGGCCCGGCCCTGCGCGGAAACCTCCGCCCGCGGGCAGGGAGGGGAGAGCGGGGAGAGGCAGGCAAGGAGGAGGGGAACAGCGGGGGAAGAACGGGGGAAGGCGGGGGAAGGCGGGGGAAGGCGGCCCCGGCGGCGGGAGTGGCTCCGGGCGCGCTGCGGCAAGGCCGGGCCAGCTCCGGGAGCCGCTGCCCCCGGGGAACCTTCCCCTGCCCCGCCCGGAGCAACAGGGGCCCGGGCGGCCGCCATGGACTCTGGCAGCGAGACCCACGAGCTCAACGGCGCGGCGGAGGGCGCGGACTCGGCGGCCGAGGAGCAGGTGAGGGCCGGGCCCGGCGGGGCGGGGCGGGGGTCCCGGCGCCGTGTCCGTCCCGCCGTGTCCTTCCCGAGCCCGGGCGGGACGGGGACTCCGCGGGGTGCGGTGGCGGTCGGTGCTGCTCGCTTCTTGCTGGCTTTTTAGCCTGCCGTTCCTGCGGGGAGGCCGCTGCGCGGGGCCGTGTGCCCGGGCAGGGCCGGACAGAGCATCCCCGGCCGCTCCTGGCTCCTACAGCTGTCACCAGGGCCGCTCCTGGCTCCTACAGCTGTCACCGGGGCTGTTCCTGGCTGCTACAGCTGTCACCTGTCACCAGGGGCCACCAGGGCCGCTCCTGGCTCCTACAGCTGTCACCGGGGCTGTTCCTGGCTGCTACAGCTGTCACCTGTCACCCGGGGCCACCAGGGCCCTCCTCGGCCGGGGCCCGCCCGCAGCTCGCCTCACCTGCAGGGCTCTGCCCACCCAGCTGGCTTGGGGGAGGACATCCGCGCGAAATAAGCAATTACAAAAGCAGGAAGAATTACTGAAGCGGTTGTGCCTGTATGGTTAATTTCCATGCAGTAATCAAAATAAAAGCCAGAATACGCAGCTTTTTCATACTATGTATGGTCAAAACATGACCAGACATCCTCACTGGGAAACGTTCATTCGCATTCTGTTTAAGTATAAAGGATATTTGCAGAACATGCCACTTATCTGAAGAAAACAGACGGGTAAAAGAGTGTCTTTTATCTTGTTTTGGAAAGGACTAAACTCTAAAGGCAGCTCTTACTCCAGCCTAAGTCTCTGCCACACAGAAACCACTGTACTAAACCCTCTTCTGTGTCGCTGGTAAAATGTTATGGTTACAGACAGACTGGGCTGATTGTGTAGCACATCTGTCCTCCTCCAACCCTCCCTCCCTAACAAACATTTGGAGTCATGAATATGAAACCAAGAAAAATAAAAATCTGGTTTTAAGAAATCCTGGAAATCCTACCTAAAGTTAATCAAGCCTAAGATATGCAAGTCAAACTGGTGGTCTGCAGTGGTTTCCTCTAAACCTCTGACTTCTCAGGAGTTCTCTCATTTTCTTGATGCAGTTTTGTGATTGCATCACAAGTACTCTTGATGGGGTATTTTCCCCCAGTGTGGTCTGCTCCAAGAATTTTTCAGTAGCTTACCTGTTTTACTTCATCTTCAGTTGCAAGCAGCCCTCATTTTGTTACATCTTTCCCATCAAAACTCCAGTTCTCAGTGAGTGCCATATAAAGAATAAGCAGTGAGACATGCTATTCCATTGTTTTAAATGTATACAGTGGCACTTCAGTGAACTTGATAAACACTTTTTAAATTTTCTCTCTCTCCCTCTCTCTCACAGACACTCACACACACAAAGTATATGCCAGGTAAAACAAATGGATTTTCCAAAAACCCATCTCTGAATAGAAGATACCTTAAGAAGTCTGCCAGTGTTCACAATTCCCACAAACAAAAGAACACCCCAGCTCAGCAGCCACCTAAACCTGGAGGGACCATCTGCAGCTGCCTGAATCTTCTGTATTGGGGTCAAGAGTGTGTCTGAGGAATGCTCACAGGCATGGGAACATGGGTCACTCTTGTTTCCTTCCTGCCTGTCCCAGCATCTGTCCTCTCCTCAAAACAGACTCTCTTGCACACCTTCGCCACAGACCACTGCCTTCTCAACAGAAGAGCTGGCATGAAATGCAGATGTAGTTGTTACCTTCAAAGCAATCAAAGCATAAGAATTTTAAAAAGACCAGTTAAGCTCTCGGTAGATCTGAACAAGGGTCACACAGTGGTTTGATGTGGTTTATTTTTACTCCAGCATTAATTTGAATACATTTTTTTAGCAGATGTCAGACTTTTGGAAGCAAGAAATTCCTTGCTTCTAGGATTGGTCTGGCATGGCACACCTCACTGACTAATATGTGTGATTACACCTGGCACAAGTATCTCATCTCTTCTTCAAAGGATCTGTTCATACAAATACAGATTATAACTAGTTTTTCATCCATCTAGTTGCTTTCCTTGTTCATGGTCCATATTGGAGCACTCTCCATCCACCATGATGTAAAATCTAGTTTAGTGTTTCCAAGATAACAGGACGTGCTAGATGAAGAGTTAAAGAAGAGCTATGAAAAAGGTGAACAAGAATTGGATAGTAGAAATAAACAGTTTTAATAATGTTATTCCTAAAAATGTGTTGAAGTCCATATATTAATTCAGGGGTAATTTGGAACATGAAAGTAATTTGAAACATAGCAGTTTCTTGGCATCATATTGCAAGTAACCAGCCTGTAGGAACTTGAAATTATTTTGCTGCATATAGCCTGAAATAGTATGTTCTCATTACTCATATCAAACTGAATTTGGAGTGTTCTATATACTCCAAATATTGATACTATTGGTGTAAAGTTTTTGCTTGAATATTTTTAAGTAGCTATAATAAACAGTGTGTTAACCACACAAAATAGACAGTCCACAGCCCAGTTGTGAGAAATAGTATTGTAAGACCAAATGAGTGGAATGAGTAGTAATAATGCAAGGCAGAAAAAATTTTACAGGAGCAAACTTCTATTTAAATAGCTGTGTGAACAAATTTAAGTTATTCCTTCATTTCACAAATTTAGTCATGAGATGTGCTGATTATTTTACAGTAATTTAATGAGTAGAAATATTTTAACTGGACCCTGGAACCAGTACAGCTTTAGGAAAACAGTGCTAAAGCTGTTAAAGCTGCTAAAGTTGGCCCTCAGCAGACTGTACTTTTCCCTTTTTTAATATTAACTTCTTTAGCTCCCAGGACTCAACATGATTGCCACAGATTTTTTCTTAATGTAGTCATGCTTGCATGATCTGTTTGTATAAAAGTGATTCTTCTTAAGCACAAGGTTTTGGAGCTGCTAGAAAATCATGATGTCTATGAAACACAAATACATGCTGAGTTTTTCCCTTTTTTCTTTTTTTTTTTCTTTCTTCTTTTTTTTAAAATTTTTTTGTATTTGCCAGCAACTGCAGCATGTGATTGCAGAGTTCTCACAAACTAGTTAGTGTTACACTGGGTTACTGCTTGTGTGAACATCTGCCCCCTCTGCTCAGAATGAAATTTCCATGGGAAATGAAACTGATGATTCATTCCAGGGCCAGAGAAGGGGTTTTTCTCTCTTGAGTCAGTACTAAACTGAGCAAGTGATCTGATGTTATTTTGAAGGATAAACCACAGAGTATCCTCTGAGGCCGTGTACAAAGAATCCATTAGAGATGAGGAGGCCACGAGGATGGTGAAGGGCCTGGAGGGGAAGCCTTGGTCTGTTCAGCTGGAGAGGAGGAGGCTGAGGGGAGACTCACGGGGGTCACAAGCTCCTTGTGAGCGGCGCTGGAGGGGCACTGATGTCTCTGTGGGCACCAGTGATGGGGCCTGCGGCAATGGCCTGGAGCTGTGCCAGGGAGGGTCAGGCTGGAGCTCAGGGCAAGGCTCTGCCCCAGAGGGTGCTGGCAGTGCCCAGGCTGCCCAGGGAACGGGCACAGCCCCGAGGCTGCCGGAGCTGCAGGAGCCTTTGGGCAGCGCTGCCAGGGATGGACAGGGTGGGGCTGTTGGGGGTCTGGGCAGGGACAGGGGCTGGGCTGGGTGGCCCCGGCAGGTCCCTTCCAACTCAGCCTATTCTGTGAATCTGTAATCATCCATTACATGACTGATATGGCTTAAAATATTTTTGTTGGGCAAATACTTTTTTTCTTTGTTGAATATTTTACCTGACTGGTTTTAGATCAGCAAGGTCCCTGAGATGGAGGGGAGGAGTAACTTCAGAGTGGCCATAAATGGCCCTTTACAATTTCAGTGTGTAGGTGATGGAGATACGGACAGAAATTCTACAACTATAAGTATTATTAAATACTAATGCAAAGTTGCTCGTTCAATCCTGTAACAGTAAGTTTGATCTTCCAAAAAAATAAAAGTTCTGAAATGGTGTTCTATTTTAGTCCTGTATTATTCCTTTTATGTCTGATCCATCTCTTTTTTGATTTAACTGGAATTTTTTCCAAACATGAAATTTTCCCTCAAAGATCTGGAAAAATCAGCCGTGTGGTATTTTTCTGAAGGATTAATACTTCAAAACCATAGTAAATTACTTCTTAAACAAAATTGCTTTTTAGCATCTTTTTATCCGTTCTGATTGGGAAGAATATTGCAGAACACAGTAAAGAGCAGCCCCACTAAGTTCAGTATGGCTCAGCTTTAGTTCTGCATAGCTTCATTGTTATTTAGCAAGTTTCCATTGTTTTATAATTCAGACTTATCCTAAACACAAGATTTTCAGGAAGCTTGCTCTATGGCATTGCAAACCCAGAGGTCATTCTGGTCCAGTCTCATTTTCAATCAAAGCTGTTGGCCCATAAAATTGCACTAATAACTAACCCCAAATAGAAGGAAAACTGCTGTAATCCTTTCTATAACAATTTGCTGTGTTTAGCAAAGATACTTTATTGTTTTCAGATATTTCCATTCTCAGTGCTGTTTCCTTCCTGCTGAATCACCAGGTGGGGCTTCTCTGTCATACACTCAGCACCTAAGGACATTTGCTGCAGAGCCACCTGTATTTGCTTTTTAATAAATGCAACCAATAAATTCTTTCTGTACTTGAGAGGGACTCAGTTTTTCTGGGTGTACCATTGAAAGGGGGAGTGAAGCAAAGCAGATGCAGAGTGTGTACTAACACAGAGGGACTTGTGCAGTCTTGGACTGAAGGTTCCGTCCTACAGAACCAAAACCATGCCTGTTTATGACATGGCATTGTAGCTCTGTCCTTGCAGAGTGCAGTGCTCTGGGCAAGCAAACAGCCCCTGCTTCTGTGAGGAGACCCACAGTGGTACTGCCTTGGGGACAGCACCATGTCACTGTGAAAATCAGCTCTTCACTCCCATCCTTTGTCTAACTGTGCATGGACCAGCAGGGCAGGTTGTTGTGCTGTGAGGCCCTGAGGGCAGGCAGGGAATACTGCAGGGAATGGTGTCCCAGCTGCACATGGCTCTTTCATGTGAACACATGTGCTGGCTTTGCTCAAAGTCCTTTGGAGACACAAACACAAGGGCTTATCTTGTCTCTACCAAGGAATTTGGACGTTGAATGTGTGTGAGGAGATGTTTTGGTTGCCCTGAGGCTGAAGCAGGTCCTGTGCAATGCATACTGCTCTTTTGCCAAGTGACACCTGCAGGAAGAGCATTCCTTTAGGTGTATCCTAGAAAATCTCCAGACGTTCCACTGTCCCTCTGTGCTCCTGTGGGTGATCAAAGCACAGCAAGTGTTGTTTGGTGCTGTGGGCTGCACACGTTGCTGCATGCCTGGAATCCCTCTGAAAACATAAAGCTACATAACCAAGTTCTACTATAATTTCTGTTGTACAGACTGTCCCTCTCCTGAGGTTAAGGCAACATCTCTTTTTTCTTTACCTGTGTACATATTGCTGTGTAACACACAATCTGATCTTAAAAAGTACCCATGTAGTACTGACTGCATCAGCTTCAATACCTCTGGCAGTGGCCTTCAGCTTGCTCCCAGAAGACAAGGCTAATTTGCTCTCTTTTTTGGGTTTTTGTTTTCTGGTTTTCCAGCATCAGTCAGGAGGCAGGAAGTGAATGTTTCAGGGGTTTTCATGATTACAGGTCATTTTTCCTGGTGAAGGCAAGATCACAGGCTGAGAAAAACCTCTGACATTTTCTGCTGCCCTATTACACTCAGTCAAACATTTAGGCTTGTGATGGATTACATGTCTGGTGAAAACAGGTCGTTTGGTATTTAAATGCTCTGAAAAAACTGGCAATGTGTATATTAATATATCTACCCTGTTTAAAAGGAGGCTTTTAGGTCTGGACTGTGGCAAGCCTGGCTTGGGAGTTGATAATGTTTAGTGCTGCTGAGGAGAGTAATGGGAGGGTGTCTTCTGCATTTGAGCTAACTTGCAAAGCCAGACTCCCTTCACAGGAGTCTGGCAAGGAGCAACACATCTGGGCAGTAAAAAAGTCTCTAAGAAGTAGGTTTAAAGAAGACAGCTAGAACAAGTTTACTTTTCATATATTTGTCAATTATTTTTAAAGTCTAGAAGAGCAGAAAGAATGAAATTCCCAACCTGTTCAGAGACAGCAGGATAGAGGATCACTTACTCTCCATTCCTCACAGAGTTGGGCTGCTAAGTCTAACCTAGTTACCCTAAGCTGCATCTAATCCATAGAGAAATAGGCACCGCTGGGAGACAAGCAGTGAAATTGCAAGTCAGGTCACATGAATCATCATCAGGAAACACTCATATATTCATCCTGTTGGGTTAACTAGCCCTAAGTTTGCCCTGCAATTGGTTTTTATTTTCCTGTTTGTTTGCAGAGCAATTTAAAAAATACCAAACAAATGAAAAACAACCCGAAACAGCTGATGTGAAAATGGGGGAAAAAAGATTCCCTTGTAATTGGGCAATTCTTGGCAACAACACATCATATGATGTGATGATAGTTAAGTGGAAAAACATCTGTGTATGGGTGTATGGATGGCCCTGGACAGTGGCATGGAAAGAGTGGCATGGAAGGAAGGAGTAGCAAGGAAAGGAGGGCAAGCAAAGCTCACACAGTGGCCAACTTCACATCTGTCTTTAAAAGAAGATTCATGAGAAATGACAGAACTTTTTGGATGTGTAAGGAGAGAAAGTGAATTTAATAAATATCTGTATTTTTAAGTGTGCCTTCAGGAGTAAATTAGTCACAATAGCCTGTTGTTTGCTGGATTGTGTTACAGTGGTTTTTCCCTCTCAACTTTTTCAGTGCAAACTTTTCAGCCTTTCCAGTCTCCTCTTTTCCCAGGGTAGAAACATGCTGACTGTTTGAACTGATCCTATAGGCAAGCTGGAAAAGGTGTAAAAGGGCAGTAGAAGCAGGCAGGTTTCTGCTCTCCTTCTGGAGGACGGGGGCAACAGGGGAAAGCTGCACAGAAGATCTCAGCACTGCTGTGGTTCTGCCCATATGGTCACAGGAGTCGTTTGGTGGGCCAAGTGATGTCCCACTCACCACCAATACAGAGATGTGAATAACCATTTTCCTCTCTGCTGGCTCCAGCGCAGAAGGTGGCAGTGGTTCCAAAGGAACAGACCCATCAACATCAACCACTATGCCAACAAGAAGAGCGCGGCCGAGAGCATGCTGGACATCGCCCTGCTGATGGCCAACGCCTCCCAGCTCAAAGCTGTCATGGAGCAAGGGCCCTCCTTCTCCTTCTACGTCCCGCTGATCATTCTCATCAGTCTGTCGCTCACCCTGCAAGTTATGGTGGGAGTGCTCTTGATATTCCTTGGTAGGTAGCAACAGCAAGAACCACTGACTCGTATTTTTCTTATATGACACGGCCTATAGGATGGTAAATAAACACCCTTTGCTTTTAAAAAGCCTTTACCTCAGAACCGATGCAGGTTAGAATCACAGAATCATTTAGGTTGGAAAAGACCTCTAAGATCATCTAGTCAAACAGTTAACCCAGCACTGCCCTGTTCACCACTAAACCATGTACATAAACATCACAATTGCACATCTTTTAATTATCTCCAGGGATGGTACTCAACCCCTTCCCTGGGCAGTCTGTTCCAATGCTTGACAAACCTTTCAGTAAAGAAATTTTTCTGATATCCAAAAAAGCAGATTTTCTCTTGAAACCATAGAAATACTGCAACAAAGGGAGGAAAGGCAACGCTATGTGAAATCTTCAATTTTTATCACCTTTCTCCTACTCATTTGCCCATACTATGAATATTTTTCCTCCAGAAAGCCTGAGGAGGAAGGAAAGTTATGAAATATTGTAAAAGAAACATCAGTAGGTCAAATAGGATAGTGAGGTCTATCAAGTTTCATAATAATGGTTTTGGCAAGACCTGTTACTTAATCTTATGACTGAAATGTGTTTTTTCCATATCATATAAGAAAATAATGTGAATGGGGAACTCCAAAGGGGAAGTAAAAGTCAAATGTCCATCGTCATGTTGGTGTGGCATGTTGTCTTTGGCTTGGCTGTGTTGCAATCAAACTGCATCTACCATTGCCCAGCTGGAATAAATGACACTGCCAATGGTAGGAAACAGCTGTGGATCATTTCTGCTAGTGATGTGGGATCATTTATTCTCATAACATTTTTCAAATCTCATCCTTTACCTCAGTGGGAGCTAGGTAACTGACCTTGGGCCTAATGCAAATGAAAAGGCAGACTTCACACATGGCATTTAATGAGTTTGGCATCCCTGACAATCTTTCAGTGTTGTGCTCTCTTATCACAGCTGAAAAAACAACGTTCTGTTCAAGGAGAAAGTTCCTAGGGATCCAGGATATACATGGCTTGTAATAGTCACAGTTGATGTGGCTTTTTTCTTTCTTACAAAAGAGATGGAATACAGCTGTCTCTGCATTTGTTAGAGTTGGTGCAAAAGCAGAATCCAGGTCTTGGCTCAGAGGAGATTGCAGAAGGGGACTGGAAAAAACCCAACCTGTTGATGCTGGCAGGTGTGGGAAACAAGTAATGGAAAAATCAGTAAAATACTTCTATGTTCCTCAGTTGAAGGCGTCTCCCTGGTTGCTTCAGCAGGCTTTGAGGCTGTAAACAAGCTCCCTGTCTTTCTGCTGGGCAATAGTTTCTCAGTATATGCTGAGATACTGCTTTTTAACACTTGTTTCTGCAAGACACTGCTGAAATGGTTTAAATTGCTATTATGTTACGGGCCACATGTTCAGTCCCTTAGGTGGCTGGAGACAGGGCCGACACACACACCTCAAAGCCCCATTTGACAAACAGAGTGTTTGGGTGTCCAAACCTAGTATATATAGGGGATTTGAAACCCCTGGTCCCAACTGCTGATTGATCTGATCCCCACACAGCCCAGCTCCTGACCAGTGAGATGTCTGCAGCTTAGGATGGAATGTAATTGGTTGAGGTTCCTGTCTGTCAACCCAGGGGCCAGTTTATGGAACCATTGGATTTCTGATTTATAGCCAAATCAATTGCCCAGTACAAGCCAGCTTGTACTGTGACAAATTGCTGTCAATTTTATCTTTGTCACATTGAGGGTAACAGGGCCTTTGGCTTATGGTGATGCACCCTTGGAGCAGTGTTGTCCTGCTAAGGTCAAAGACAGGAAGAAGACAGGAAACAGGACACAAAGGTATGAAAATGCAGGTATCAGACCAAGAACTTGCTTTTCACAATGTATATTTTATAGTTTTGGCTTGCAGGAATAGTTTGTTTCTGTCCAGCCATGAAATTCTGTCTCTTCAAGCTCTCACACGGCCAAACAAAAGTCTGTGCCATGATCCAGTTTCTTTCTTTGAGTCAGGGTTTTATCCTGGGAGCTACCAATTCTCACAGTTTCTACTAGGTATTAAAAGCTTTTCCTCCTTCTAAAGAGCCTTTCACAAAAACAATGTGAGAAATGTTCAGCAAACTTGTCCTTGGAAGGGATTTGGTGACCTTAACTTTTTGGAAGAAAAGCAAAGAATGTCTTGAAATAGTTTCAGTGGCTTGAAATCATTTTCACAAGCACCCTCATCTTAAGTGCTGTAATTACAAAGATAGGATTACTGCAATTCTACTTGAAAGTTTAGAGCTTTTCCTAAACTGACAAGTATTACTTGTCTTCTCTGACAAAGGGACAGCTCTGAAAGTGTCAGTTTGCCTTTCAGAGTGATTGCTTTTAACTCACATAACAGGTCAGGCCATTATTGCCTTTCTATTTTTATCCAACTGTCCCAAATGCTGTTATTCTATGTTTCAGAACTCATGATTAAGTTTCATTTATTCTTCACTCACATGGAGTCCTTCCAGGTCCTGTTGGGGTGCAAGCATCCACATGCCTCCAGATACTTTGCAGATGTGTAAACTCATTTTAAAGTCGAAGTACTTACTGAATTTAAGTTATTTAATGTCTGCAAAGGTATGCAGTAGCTTCTCAGGGCTACCAGTTCTCCCACACTGTTCTTCAATGCTTTGCCTGGCCTGTGATGTTTGGCTACACTGCTTTAGCAAACAGGACTTGAGCAGGTGCTCAGAATTCCTTGAAACCAAAACAGCAGTGTTAGGGACCCCAGGTGAACCTGGCTGTTAGCACTTCAGCATCACAAGTGTGTTTGCCACCATTCAACAACAAGGGATATTGGTTCAGTGGTTCACTTCTGCAGTATGGAACACAGCGATGATGGTACAAGCAAGTAACAAGATTTATTTTGTGTGGTAGAGTCATAAGTTGTGTGTGTATGTATGTGCCCATCAGAAGGAGCCCTAGGTTTTATGTTGCTGTAAAAACTTGTCTGGTATAAACTTTCTCTCACATGATGTGCACATGCAGACACAAGCTCCAGTGATACATGCTGTTGAGAACTCGGAGTCTCAACAGACAAAACCCATTCTCAAAACATGCTCCAGAATTCATCAGCACTTGCTCCATCAGCATCAAAGGAATGTAGCCAAGGGTCTCAGCTGCAGGGCCCTTCCTGCCAGGGAATAGAGACAGGAAACTCTTGGGTTTTCACATGGTATTTCAGTGGGCATAGTATTTGGTCAAAGTTGGATCTGATGACCTTGGAGGTCTTTTCCAGCCTTAATGATTCTATGATGCCAGGCAAGTGCCCCAGACTTAAAACCTATTAAAGTGCCCACTGTCTTAAAACCAAACCTATTATCAGCCCAATGTAAGTAATTTGTATGCTATCACAAGGCCTGGAATCAAAGCTTACACTCCATTAATGCTTGTGCGAGCCTCCCTCACTCCCTTTAGCAGTTCAACCAAAAAACAGCTGCAAGAAACAAAGGAAAATGTTTACACAGCAGATGCTCTCTGTAGAAAGGACTGCAGCTACACTGCTCTGACACCCCCCTCTGTTTAACAGATAGAGTACCCTTGCTTTCTAAAAACAGAATCAGGGCAAAGGCAGGGAGTACAAGGGGGTACAAGCTGGGGAAGGGCACCAGTACAGAAAAAATCCAGCCCTGGTAATGAGATTTGTAGCATTTTAACTAGGAAATTTAACTTCATCCTGTCAGGGCTTCAAGTTTCATGTATTCAAGACTGAAATAATTTTTAAATGCTTAAAGTCTGCAACAAAGCTAGGCTTCAAAACCTCAAGAACTCAAAGATTTCTAGTGATGTTAGTGCATCCATTACTTCCCATGTGTCTCCACAGAGATTAGATGCTAATTACTGAAGTTAATAAGCTCCTTGTGGTTACAGACCTTTCCCTTAGCACTTTCAGTGACGCTGCAGAATCTTACTTCCTTTTAAATATGACTGATCCAAATAGCTTAGCATAAGATAAATTCTGTAACTGCAGCAGAAACCTTCTATCCTGGATTTTGAAATATACATATTATTAAACATTTTTTCTCCTTTCTCTTTGAAGTAAAATATGACCTTAACAACCCTGCAAAACATGGAAAGCTGAATTTCCTCAACAACCTTGCAACTGGACTAGTATTCATTATAGTAGTTGTGAATATTTTTATCACTGCCTTTGGAGTGCAGAAACCAGTTGCTGAGCCAGCATCAAGACAGTAAGGACCAGGTGAGTGTGGTCTCCTGCAGCATGAGGTAGCAGAGCACTGCATCCAGGAATGCAGGGCACACTGGGGCACCTCAGAAACAGCCACAGGCTGATCTGTACTGTTGAAGTTCTTGCAGATACCTGAGCTCACTTCCCATTAGTGCAAAAGCAGAAGCTGCTGGGAACTGGTAAGTTATTACAATGTGTTTGTGAATGTGGAGTTCAAAAGTTGATGGCAGCACATGTCACCCGTAGGAAGTGTAAGGATTGTCCTGGCCTAGCCACTCCTTTTCCTTACTGCTGACCAAGACAATAAGGGAAATAATGTTGTTCTGCTTTCTCCAAATGCCTCTCCTTTTTTTGAGGAAGGTTTGCATCCAGTCTGTTACTTAATGCTGAAGACAATCTGTTTCCAAGTAGCTAGGGCTGTTCAATCTGACATGTAACCCTGCACATGCTGGAGTCTCTCAGTTTCTGGGCTGGCTCCAGATCGTGTGGCTGCTCTGTCCTTCACAGGACGGGGCTGTGCTCTGTGGGAGACTCAGCTCACAGGGATGAGCACTGTCACTTCACATGTGCCCATTTAGGACAGTCTTGGTGCTCTACCTGCACTTGCAGCTTTGTTCTTTACTTATGCAGAAGGATAAATATAGGAATTGTGGGGATCAAACTGGGTGTCTTCCTAGCTATGATGAGCAGCTTGGGAGGACATAAACCTAAATTATAGGCTCGTAATGCAAGAAGAACCACGGTCAACATCTGCCTTTAAAATAGCAGTGCTGAGTCTGTGTGTGCCAGCATTGCTCTGGCACTCGGTCTCCCAGATGTCAGCCCAGGGTCAGAGACCCGCTGAGGGAGGAATGGCTGGGCTGGCAGGCCATGGCTGCACTCTGTACCACACAGGGAGCCCGTGCAGGTAACATTACTGCTTTGTGCAAGCTTCTACAAGAAACCCTTGCTCCATAAAAAAAGAAGATACAAGGCCTTTTAACTATTTATCTGTAGATGAATGGTGCAACAGAAATCTGTAACAAAAATGGGAGTCAAACCAAAATTTATCATCAGTCAAAACAGCATGAGGAGGAATCATTGTAAAAAATTACTAGGAAAATTAAGAACTACAGTAATTTATCTCAGGATGTGGGTGTAATTTCCTCCTTTAACCAAAACCTGTGACGATCAGGCAGTGAAACAAGATAGTTTTAATGCATTTTCTGGCCATAGTTGCTACAAACAGACTAATGAGTATTTAATTTTAACAGCGAAGAGCACATAGATTATCTGAGCTATTACCCAAAATGCAGGTAGAATGTTGACTTCAGGAGAACATGTTAAAGCAGTACTGAAGCAATAACCCCAAAATTAACACTGGCAAAACCAAGGGAGCTGTATGAAGGATTATTGGAATTTTAGCTGCCTTCACGGGATGAAACACACAAAATACCTGGGACAGAGGCACAGACTAGGATCTGGAATAGGCATAAGGAAGCTCAGAACAGAACCCGAAGCTGTGGGCTCCTGCCTCCATGCTCTCACACTTGCAGTTTCCTAATTAAACAGCCAAATGTGGTGTCCAGAGCCTATTTTTTGCTGCAGACTTATTAAATGTGAAAGTTCTTTATTGCTTTGGAACATTACAGCTGTTGTTTGCTCATTTGTACACATTGCCCTTGCTAAAAACATCTTGTCATCTGAATGTAACCTGAGAAATAAGTGTTTTTCAGTCTGTTGCCACAATCTCCTCAAAACCCTGAGAGAAATGAGTGGCCATGTTCTGGCTTCACCTTTACTATTATGCACCCTTTTCCACAGAAAACTTAATTGCCCCTTTGAAATAAATGTATCATTTACTATAATTCCTGTATCACTAAAATATCAATATCTTTGTGTTTCAGAGACCTGGAGCATCCATTTTAGATGCCATTTGCAGTTGAGCCAGCTACGCTGGACACAGTGGGGAAAGAAAAATAATTTGAAGAAGCTGGACACACCAGGCAGCTTTCTCAAGCTTCCAACACACCTGTATACCTGAAATTTTCCCATCTGTTAATATTTAAATTGTTTGGCATCTAAGAGAAGGTTAGTTTTGCCCCAAGGATGCTGTTTTTCTGGAATATTGGCATTTCAATTTCTGAAGAAACTTATTTTTTTTTCAGAGAAGTGACATAAATTCATGAAACAAGGAAATAGCATCTGGTAGCATTTCACAGGACTTTTCTTTTTACATGCCTTTGGTTTTTGTGGCAATTTGTCATTTCACGATGGTAAGAAATGTCAGGCCTTTGATTGTGGTGTGGTCACATTGTCCTTCATTTCACAGCTTGGCACCAAGCCCATGCACTCTGTAGCCCAGCAGGGCTCTGGTTTGCAGTGTGTAAAGGTAGCTCTGCTTTTGCACAGCTTTTTGTTTTGCTTTTTTTTCCACTCTAGCTAAAGGAAAGATGAGACAAAAAGAAATAAGCAGCATTCTTTTGCCCAGTTTTGTTCACAGGTAATCATTTGAATTGTTTCTTCTGGGCACACTTAAAATTTCCTGCCCTTCATGCACAGACACAAATCACCTAATTGTTAATGATTTCTTACCATGTATTGCTATTCTGTGTATTCTGTCCATAATATGTATTTATTTGAATCATAGAGTGGTTTGCATTCAAGGGACCTTTGAAGCTCATCCAGTTCCACCCCTGCCATGGCAGGGACACCTCCACTGTCCCAGGCTGCTCCCAGTGTCCAGCCTGGCCTTGGGCACTGCCAGGGATCCAGGGGCAGCCACAGCTGCTCTGGGCACTCAGCACCTTCATTGTAAAAGGTTCTTTCTTATATCAAATTTCTGGAAACTCTATTGCAAGTGCCACCTTTTCTAGGCTCTACTGGTAAACTGGAAGATCCAGGGTGAACTTTACCTGTTAAACTGGTACCAAGTGCCTGTCAGCAGCAACTCAAATGGCAAAATGAACTGAGTTTTTCTTTCTAGTTTCCTCTCTCTCCTTCCCATCATTGATTGCTGCAGTTTTGTTCCTTTTATGAGTTAATGGCTAAAAGCAAAATAAAATTTTAAATTTTTATTTTTAAATATATATAGAGAGTTATAAGTATCTTCTAGTCTCTTACCTGCTGGCTCAGGGACTTACACTTTTTCTAAATACACTATTGCTAATAATAGTGTAGGTTACAATAATTTCTTCAACAAAAACATTTTAGTAATTTTATTTCCAAAGTATCATACCTACAATCAGAAAAATCTAAGTTTTCTAGATTGCACTTATATGTAAATGTAAGATGTAGATTTGTATGAATCAATTTTCTTGGTGTCAGTTTTCAAAAGCTCCTTTGTACATAAGAATAGAAGATTGACTTCATGTGTCTCATCTCATTTACAGGTTTTGTTACTGACCTTTCTCTTTGGTTATGTCTCAAAGCCCACTGATGTACTAGACTTTCATGTATATGTTCTGTAAGAATTACTAACAGAAAACAAATCAAACTCATGTGATTAGTAATGGAATATATATTCTTTTTTTATTTTCTAATTTGTCTTTTGTTGCTTCATTTCCATTGTTACATGTATTTAACCAGTATCCAGCAGGCAGTGGTTTAATTTTGTGGGCTATACTAATGTAAACATAACTCAGAACAAGTTCTGAAAGAGGCACACAGGACAACTTCCTTCCTGTATTTATTTTTCACAAATCACCAACTGCTGTAGGACTCTTCATGCCCACTGGCTGTCTGGCATGGCTGTCACACTTTTGATGCTGCTTCCTATGTCTTTTATTGTGATTAAGTAAGATTTGCAAAACATTCTTAGACATGAAATCTGTATTTTAAGTCTTTGAAGCCTTCAGAGTTCATGTATTTTTTAGCAGACAGAAGCATCTGCAAGTTGGTTTCAAGTATAAATAATTTAATCACAGGATTATTATTCTTTTAAGTCACATGCTGCTTTAAAATCCAGGCAAATATCTCAGAGGGGCAGCAAACAAATACATATGTTTGACTCATTCTCTGGTTTGCTGTGCTTTTTCAGAGTTTTTGGTTGGAGGCAAATATCTCTTTTAAAAAGAGGTCATCAATAATGAAGGGAGATGAATTTTCCAGGCTCTGTGGGGAGCAGTTCGTGCCAGGTCAGCCGTTTGCTCCTGTTTCATAAGCTCTGGGCAGGGTGAGCACTGCTCATGGTCCTTCTCATTAGTCCCTTCAGCATGCAGAATAGCCTGGGCTGGGATTTTCAGCGTAGCTCTACTTACTGAAGCAGGTGACAACAACCATATTTACTGGAACTCACTCTGAGTATTTGTCTTCTAAACCAGGTCACTGCTGGAGCTCGTTCTGATGCTGAGTCTTATATAAAATGGGCTGAAGCAGAAAATACCATCTTGGTTTCTGTGTCCCCTCAACTGCCATTCAGTTGTTTGAATTAACAACTTCTTTACCCTCAGTGAGTTTGCACATGACACTCAGGTTGCTGGGAGTATTGATGTGCTGTCAGGAAGGCTCCATAGTTTTATCTGGAGAGGCTGGATCGTAGGCCAGTGATTGAGGCTGAACAAGGCCAAGTGCCAGGTCCTGTCCTTGGGTCACAACACCCCCTCAGCTCCAGGCTGAGCCAGAGGGCCTGGCAAGGCCCTGGGGGTGCTGTGGCAGTGGCTGAACAGGAGCCCAGGTGGGTAGGAAGGACCAGGGCACCTTGGGCTGCTCAGCACTGGCGTGGCAGCAGGGCCAGGGCAGTGCCCACCCCTGTGCTGGACATGCTGGGGTCAGTTTTGAGCCCCTCACAACAAGGAAGAGCTGCAGGGGCTGGAGTGTGTCCAGAGAAGGGAACGGAGCTGGGAAGGGGCTCAGCCTGGAGAAAAGGAGGCCCAGGGGGGACCTCTGGGCTCTGCACAACTCCCTGACAGGAGGGAGCAGCTGAGGGGCTCTGGCTCTGCTCCCAGGAAACAAGGACAGGAGGAGACAGAATGGCTTCAAACTGTGCCAGGGGAGGGTCAGGGTGGGTGTTGGGAGGAATTGGACAGCACCAGTTCCTGGAGCAGGTGGTGTTTCTGATAGGCCCAAGAGAAGCTGAGCCCAGGTACATTTCTCAGATCGTGGTGCAACTTGAAAAGGGGCTGGGGGAGGCACCACCACCAGGACCCCACCAGCCAGTGCATGAGCATCTGCTGGGGGAGCCATTAGTATTCACAGGTGATCAACAAAGCCGAACCAGAGACAGGAGCTGAGACTTCCCTAGAGAAGGAAGTAAACTGAAATGAATGAGAGAAGGTACTCCAGGAAGAGATAAATAACAACATGGTCATAGCAGGCCTTAGGGCAGAGTTTCCATCAGAGGCTGGGTGGCACCCAGGTGCTGCAGCATGGCATGTCAGCTGTACTTGGAGTTTCACTCCTCTGCCCATCACTGAGTATTCCCATCCTGACACTGGAACTCGTCCAGCAGCGGTGGGAGGGCAGAGGGGAAGGAGTGTGGACAGAACTGACCAAACAACTTGAGCTGATTGATAGCAGACAGCTTTTGGGCATGTCAGGAAGCAAACACACATTGTTGGAAGTACATCTACAGCAAAGAGACAGGAGAAAATGTGGTATATAAAGGCTTCAGCTGTTTGCAGGAATTTCTTCTTTTCACACTTGATCAAATTATTTTCACTGTATGAAATCCTGAAGTCACAGAATCACTGAATCATTTAGGATGGAAGAGATATCAAAGATCATTGAGCCCAACTTTTGACTGACTCCACCTGTAAATGCCCCCCCTCATCCTGGCTCCTGATGTTCATGGCTGTGCCAGTCACTGACGTGTCAGTGCAGGATCGGGTGTGAAACACAGCATACAATCTTTTCAAAATAATATCTGACCAGTAATTATCCAACTTCCTAACAGGGTGGTGACAAAACATAACCTGCCCTCCTATTGGATACTATGGGTTATTTTGAATTCACTTTTCTCCTCCCCCAGTCTGTTGAAGACTTTCATGGTTCATTTTATCCCTTTGGGTTCTCATAATGAGAACTATTTACTAACCTGGCTGCCTTCCCAAGAAGAGTGCCACAGCTCTAAGTCAGGAACAGAGACTTATCAATAGTTCCTCATCAGGCAAGTCAGGCTTTGTCAGAAATGGCGATGGCAAAAACTCCTTTTTCATTCAGCCTCCTTTCTGATGTTTTCCATTCCTCTTTTTCCAGTCTTCCAGACTAGAAGTTGTCCTACCCCCTTTTTATATGGTACAAGTTTTAACTAGTTGAGAGGTGAGTGTAAATATGGTGCCATGCTAGGAAGCACCACACCAGGATTACTGAAACATTGCAAAACATTTTCACTGGTACCAAAAATATTTGAGAATAAATCAGCTTCATCACCACCCAACATTACCAGAGATCTCTGGTGTGAAGGATGAAAATAATCTAAACTCTTTGGAAGGCCTAATGTTTCAGATTTGTTTTGGACTTGTGGAAGATATGGAGGGGGACAGCTATGTGTCTTTACCCTGAAATAGGAGTCAATTTTTTCTGTGTCAGAAAACATGATTCACCAGGCATGCCAGGGAGAGCATTGCTCAGGAAAGACAGCCCTCAGGCCTCTCCATCCCTTGTGGAGTTTCAAATCCTGGCAACACGACTTGGGAACATGACTGAACTTCACAAACTGTATGAAGTGCACTAACTGGAGAACATTGGGAGCAAGCCACAATGTGCCTGTGTGGGTCACTGTTCTCCTTCATACTCCATAAAAATTCTTTCTTCTCCATGCTAGTAGAAAAACAGGTTTGAAAGCCCCACATCCCAGCTGCACTGGTAGGATGCCTCACAGACTCTTGAAGGGACCCTGGTTATCACACGGAAGTCCTGCAATCTTCAAACCTGGTATCACTGATAATATTTTGCTTAATTTGCATGTCCTCTTCACTTGCAGACACAGGGTGTGATGGAATGATGTGTCTTGTTCATCTTTCCAGAGTCAGGACCAGCCTAGACTCATCCAGGGCTGAATTTCATCCAGCTCAGAATGAGGAATTTACTTCCTACTTGTTTTCTTATTGACTCTGAGATCACCGAAATGAGTTTCACTTGTATCTCACAGGACTCCTAGCTTGGGAATACCCTGAAAGACATCATTGCAATTCTTTCATAGAAATCTGCTATCTAAATGATTACCATTAATAATAATTTTTATTTTCTGCTATAATTTTACCTGTTATACCTGGACTGTGAATTTGGTTCCAATCTGATGTTAGTTGTCTCCCTACCTCCTGGCAGAACAAGAGTTCTTGCAAAGCAGAGCAAAGTAGCCACGTTAGATTGGCCGTGAGCCAGCTCCAGAGGCACAGGTGAAACAAAACCCAGCTCTATGCAACCATTATGGATCAGGAATATTTAAGAGGCACAGGCATCATCTTTCCAGCCTTCACTGGGAGCTTTTAAAATGAATTAGCTCAGAGCCACGGAGCAAAAACAACGTCGGCTCTCTCAGTTTCTGCTGCAGCGGAGCGTTCAGCCCGGGCACCCCGCAGGACGCGGCCGTGGCACCCAGCCCAGCACAGAGCTGCCCTGGGACAGCACCCGCAGGGCTGGAGCACCAGGACACCCCCGGGGTAGATAAAGCCAGGCCTAAAAAGGAAAAAATAAGCCACCTGAGTGTGATGAAATATTTTGCTATGGAGAAGATTTGCTGTAAATCGTGCTGTGAGAACATGTCTCGCCTGTGATTTATCCAAGCTTCATGTGCAGTGGCACTCTGGCTGCTGGCACCCGACTTCACCTGTTACCAGTTTGTGAAGCACAGAGTCTGAAAGGATTTTGCTTTACTAGACACAATGTTATTAAAGATTTATCAACAGCACCACAGCAGAAAGTTTTTCCTTGTGACAACAGTGTAAAGTGGCCTGTGCTCCAAAATAGCAAGGGCAGCTCAGGATTCCCCCAAAATGTTCTTTTATGCCAAAGCAATGGGACTGAATTAACTGGAGCAGTGTTGCTGCATAGCTATCTCATCTCCTGCCTCTGATTTATTTCTTTCATTTGGCTCTAATAGCATCTCTATGCAGTGGGTGAGATGAAGATAGAAAATTACCCCCTCCCGTGAATCCTATAATTTTGTAGTTTCATCAGGCTGTTGTTTCACTCATATCCAAACCTTGGTGATGCCCTGATGCTCTGCTCTGGTCCCTTCACCTGGCGCCTGGCACAAGGCTGCTCCTGCAGGGGCAGAGGGTTGGGGCACAGCCTCCACTGGGAGCTGCTCCTCTCCCCAAAGGGCCACAGAGCAGCGGCAAGGAGGGGAGCCCAGTTCCCACTCACCAGGGAGGCAGTCCACAGAAGGGCACAGGATGAAGAGGATCTCTGCTCCTGATGAAGTTATCTCAGAGATCCTCCTCCATGACCACTCAGGCCCTGTTCAACAGAACCCAGTGCCAAGCTCTGGGGCTCCTCTTGTCCCCAGAGAGTTTTGTAGCAGCAGATGCAATCCTGGCTCTGGGTTAGTGACTCTACCTAAGGTTTCAAGTTGTGTCAGGGGAGATTTAGATTTGATATTAGGAAATATTTCTTCATGGAAAGGGCTGTCCAGCCCTGGCATGGGCTGCCCGGGACAGTGGTGAAGTCACCATTCCTGCAAGTGTTTAAAAAACGTGGATATGGCACTTTAGGACATGGTTTAATGGTGAACATGGTGGTGGTGCCAGATCAGCCTCAATTGTATTAAGAGCTCTTTTCCAACCTGAACAATTCTATGATCCCATGATTATCCTGCTACAGCAACAAGTTCCTTTGGCGGGATGCTCAACACTCCTCATAGAGGCACCCATGCCAGCAGTTCCCCCTTACCCAAAGGAACAGGCCAGTAACAAAATGAAGTCCCCTTTTGGGTGGCCCAAGTAGCACTTCAAATGAACTGTGTGTCAAAGTCCTTTTACTGGTGCACCTCCAAGGCTTCATGGGCAGTGACCCTTGGAACTCCCAAAACGACACAAAATCAAGGATTAACCCAAAGACACCCAGTCTTTGAACTGATGAGCCCTGTTTAACTCCAGACCCCTAAACAAGCTAAGCAGAAAAACTGCAATTTTGAAATCAGGTGAAAAGGTTAAAAATCCTGGTGCAAATAGCCAGAAAAATTTAACCATGAGAGGCAAGAGCCCAGGAGGGGTCGGTCAGCAGCCACAGGAGGGCAACAACCCAGGGGTGGTTCTGCAAGGAAGAGCAGTGCATTAATTACAGGAAAAACAGCAGCATTCTTCTCCCAGATTTTATTTCAATTTAATTGACAGCTTCACCCCATTAAAAAAAAGAAATACATTAATTTCTAAAGGAGGTACATCCAGAGAAATTAATACAGGACACAGGCCCTGTGAAGTGCAGCAAACTGATTCTTGCCAGCACAGCCAAGGCATGGCATAACATGGAGTAACATCTGTGCACACAGAATGGCAGGGAAAAGCATCCACAATGGCACATTTTGATCAAATATGTTTTCAATTTATTACAATATGAGAAAAATAACAACAATTGAAAGAAACAAAAGGAATAACTTTGTCTTGGCAAAGGCACTTGTAACTGCAAACTCCATCCAGCAGCTGTAAAGCAGCCCAGTGCATCCCAGAATGAATCATCACTTCATTCCCATTCCAGCCCATCAGGCACATCATCCTTCACCAAGTCCTTTAAATAGCAGTCTGGCTTTAAAGAGAATTGTGCAAATTCTTTGTAGGATCTATCACTTTGCTTCCCAGCTCTCTGCACACAGATGGTCCTGTACTCAGCCTTGAACATTTCCATGGCTCAGGCCAGTACCTGCTTAGCTCCTGGACAATTCCTGCCTCCAGCATGGCAGCCACAGTGTTCACCAGGAGGGTCTCCACCCTTGGCATGGAACCACCTATGACCCAGCCAGGACAACCTCCCTGCACAAAGTGTGAACCATGTTTATAAATTAGTTACCAACACAGTTTCAGCAGCAAAGGCCAAGCTGTTCTTGACTTGCCAGGGAAACCAGAATTCTGCAGCTAAACAGCTTCATCCAAGACCCTGCTTGATTTATTCCCAAGTCTGTAACACTGTTTGCCTAAAAGGACCTGACTCCATGCAGGTGCACATGTGCTTCCTCCAGGAGCTGAAAGTGGAATTATCACTGTGCTCCATATGTGCTCCAGCTGGTGCACATGCCAACTGTATAGGCAGCCTGACATTCATTGTTCATATTAATAACTGGCACTAACGAAAGAACAAATTGTTTTCTATTCTTTGCTGTTAGGTCCTTTAACACTAGGATGAACCCAGACTCACTTTTTCTTCCTCCTTCCAGCTCTAACCCTTGGCATAGCTCATTCTGGATCACTTTTTCCCTGAGAGATATCCTCATCTCAAGCAACCTCAGGAAGGGAGGAAAATGTAGCCCTAGCCATAGTAAAATTTCCTGTACCATACTGGGAAAGAATTCTTCCCCCAGCCCTGGCACAGGTTGCCCAGAGAAGCTGCTGCTGCCCCATCCCTGCAAGTGTCCTTTCAAAGCTCTCTAGTAGTTTAATATTTTCTTATATTGTGATGCCCAAAGTGCCCCCAGCACTGGAGCTGAGGCCGCCCCAGCGCAGAGCAGAGAGGGACAATCCCCTCCCTGGCCCAGCTGCCCATGCTGGGCCCGGTGCCCCCACAACAGGGATGTTCCCCCTGGCTGCCAGGCTGGGCTGACTCATAGCCAACTTTCCATCCACTAGGATTCCCAGGTCCCTTTGCATGGTGCTGCTCTCTAGCATCTCATTCCCCAGCCTGTCCCTACATCCAGGGTTGCACCATCCCAAGTGCACAATCTGGTACTTTCCCTCGTAGAACTTTACTGGGTTGGTGATTGTCCAGCCCTCCCATGTGTCCAGGTCTCTCTGCAGTCTCCCTTTACTTCACTGGGAAAGGGAAAGCTAAATGAATCTGGAACATTTTCTTGGTAGTCTGAAGTGCTTCAGGTCAGACATTCCACTGCCTGAAAGAGCCCATGGGCTGGGAAGCAGCCTGCAACAGCTCCAGGGCATTCAAACCAGGGCCAGCAGCTGTGGCAGACTGGGAACAAGGCAGACTGGGATGAGGCACCAACTGGGAATCAGAAGACACAATGAATACGAGGCACACATCAAGGGAACTGGCGCCCTTAAACTTTTTCCAGGTGCCAGTGCACCTGAGCTCAGGCAGTGACTATAAAGGGTCTAGACAAAACAGTTCTGAGATGGAGATCCATTTCTTAGTAAGGACTTTGAGTGCATGTGTTTAAGTTCTTTTCTTAAATTAATTCTCACAAAAGGAAAGCCAGAGTTCTTCAAACAGTTGTGATCCTTCATTCCAGTATAGAAAACACATATGCAAACATGGCTTCAGACCCATGCGCACTTAAGAGATCATTTTAAAGCTTATAATAAAAATATTTTTTATACAAACAATAAATACTTCAAGCATTTACAAAAATAAATGGTCCATTCCCATAAAGAAGGACATTTATGGCTGAAATTTCGAATACATCTGGAGGCAAGGCAATTATTGATTAAGCTAGTTACTAAAATCTTTGGTATGAGTTCAGGACATTTTTATCCACTGTTGGCTTCCTTTGGTGTACTGTACAGACAAGCAAAGAGACAGCTTTTCCTTAATTTCTTGACATGTCTTCCAAATACAACATACAAATATTTCTAACATGTCCTCCTATGATAATAGGAGAAAAACCCAAGATTCTCCTGGCTCTTCCTATGACTTGCGTTTCTAAAATGGAATGATGAGAGGAAAAAGAGAAAGTGAACACAGTTAGATTTCATTTTATCTAGGAAGCAGCATCTGCAAAAAATAAAAACCAATCAAAAATAACTCTAGAAGAAAGCCCATTTCCTTCAATTTGTAGAAATCAACTGCCAAGAGAGGTGAACAAGGAATCTGTTCAGATTCGTTGCTGCAAGCTGAGACAGGAAGAGGAGATTGATCAGCTGGGGAAGGGGGCAGCCTCACCCCTGGGCACAGCACTGGAGGGTGTGGAGCCAGTGTGGACTGTCAGGGGGCAGTCAGGGCTCACACCCAGAGCCAGCAGCGGGGGGCAGCTGTAGCTGCTGGGACTCAGCCAATCCAGCCAGCAGCCCCCAGCCCCGGCCAGGCTTCCACCAGCCCCCAAGGGCTGTGGGAGCCAGGAGGGTTTGGGTGTGTCCCATGACTGCTGGAATCATGACCCATTGCCATAGCAACAGGAGTTCACATGACTACTGCATTTAAAAAGTGCCCCTGTTTGTGGCATCTGGAGGCAAAACATCCATTATTTATAGCTCAGCATGTTTGCTGTGCAATTTGTATCCGGAGCTCATTAATGAGTGATGAAACCTTGACCCCCCCTGTTAGGGAGCCTGTCAGATGAGGAGCCCAGCTCGTTGCACCCCTGCTGAGGGAAGGCAGGCAGGAGAAGCCCCTGAGCAGCTCACCTGAGTTACAGCAGTACCAGACAAGGGCCAGCCCTGCAGCCACGCTGAAACACGCCAGGAAGAACACCGGGCCTACAGAAAATGGCAAGAAAACACATTGAGACAGAGCAGGGCACCAGAAGTTTAGCTCAGCTCACAAATCACCAATTGCTATCAATATGCATAATTAAGCATATTCAAATGAAGCTAACACATTCACAATTCTGTATGTTCTGTAGCTAATGTACTGTAGCTAATGTACTGAAGCACATTTATTAGGCTGCAATTAATTTTTACTACAGTTGCTCTGCCACCATTCCCTGTTCCCCTCTGCTCATCTACCAGCTACAGACTATGGCATTTAAGGAAAAGTTTCCCAACCAAATCTCCTGGAAACTGCCTGCCTGGAATCACACAGAGTTTAATGGTGATGGTCAGTACTGATGTTCAATAAAACCTTTCTAATTCATACTCATCCACTGACAAAACAGCATTAAGATTTACATCTGCTTCTTTATTACCTAATACTCTATTTGTAGTTACTATCTCACTACAAACAGAGACACAATTAAACTACACATCTACTTGTAGATACAATTAAGCTACACCTATCAATTTAAGGTCAAGTGTACTGCCTCAACAAATTCCTGGAGCTGACTGCGTGGACAAGGACACTGGAGAAACACCACAGGAGCACAGATTTGGTTGCTCTTTGGCATGTAACCTCCCAAGGAGGGTGGCTGGAGGCCAAACAATCTCTAGTCTGAGGCCAGGTCAGAAAAAAAAAAAGTAATAAGTAAAAAAAACAAACAACAAAAAAAACCCCTACTACTTCATTTTCTTATTTCCAAACACTTTCTCTGTTCATCCTGTACTGTTATGCTGCAGACAGCATCAGCAATGTGTAAACTCTGAACAGCAATTTGGTTCAATATTCACAGAAACACCACCACCACAGACAAAAATACACATTGAGTTAAAAAGTGTTTCATATTTCAGTTTTTTCTCAGGAAACTGCAAAAAAAGGCATAATTCACAGAAGGTGTTTTGAATCTCTCATTATTGTATCTAAATCTCGAAATAAAATACTGAACTTAAATGACATAATAGTTCATTATAAATGGTGAGAATTCTTCATCGTTATTTGAGATCTTCCTTTTCAAAATATCTTACCATGAAAAAAATATTTGTAATCTGGCACTGAACAGAGGAAGGTGAAACTAATTAATATGTTTTCCTAAGGAAAATATATTTAAGCTTTTCCTGCCTTTTCATCATTGCTTTCAAATGACTTGTAGTTAAATTGAGAGCTTAAAAAAAAATTGAAAAAAATTCAAAGCCAGATCAAAAAGTTATTGATGGCTTTATGCAAAATGAATAGACCTTACTGTTCAGGCCTTGAAGAAATCACAGGAAATTAAGAGCTTAGCTGTTTTAGTGTAAGTAATACCATTGTAAATATTGATTAAACTCTACAGTCTCTTCAATTTCCTGGCACTGGTTTCCTCGACAGTAACTCAGTACATTTTCCTCCATTAATTCTACTTAACTTGTGACAGTAAACACATCATAAGCCAAAGTAGTTGCTATATACAGTGCAAATTACATGATATAATAAATTGCATCATAATCTGCAAAGCCATTCCATCCGGTGACACTGTATGATTTATTTACCCCTGTCATTTAGCATATATTGCTCCTTGTCAGTGTCTATCTCTGTGGGATCTGGGGTTTCTAGAAATAAAAGCAATACATGAAAAGTTAGTACTCAGCTCAAGCAAACAAACAAACATAATCAGCACATGCAAAATGGTGCAAAACACTGTATTTCAGAAAAATATCCAATATTGACATAAAGCATTAACCCCTCCAATGGTAAACCATTGCTAGAGTTAAAGCTGGACTGACCAAAAGACACAGGCATAGAGTCATCTGAATGCAACTACAAATAGCTGCAGCCCCACCTCTGATCAGCCTAAGCACTGACCACATAAGTAACATTACACTTTTTTCCTAAGTTAGGAAAGCAGGAGATCATCCTTCACAATACCAGCAGTTTTCATTGTAATACACAGAAACTCTTTGTTAACAGATGCACTAATCTCAAAACATCTCTACAATTTAATGTATCACCATTCTTTGTTCTTGAGCAAATCTCCGGGCATTGATGTATTTAGCAAGTAAAGCACATAGAAAGAACTTCTTGGTGTAGATTATTTACTAAATGCAGGTCTCAGCTGAAGGCATTCTTTAAAACTCTGTGGGTTCTACATGTTAACATTTGGCACAAGTAATTTCAGCCTCTATCTTTCTGCAAATTCTAGTAGAAAAGGAGGCTGGCCATAGGACAAGGTGTTCAGTAGTTTCCAGCCTGGGCAGAAAGACCCTTTCAGAGCTGCCTTTGCCACACAGATTTGGAGATTAAGCTGTCTGCAGAAGGGGGATGCACAGCTGTCACCAGACATGGCAGAAGAGTGACTTTTCATAACACATCACTGATCTGCAACACTGTTTTAGCCAAAGCTTTCTGTAGTCATGCAATCACAGAATCATAAAGGTTGGCAAAGACCTCTATGATCACCAAGTCCAACTGTCAAAGGGCTAGGAGGGTTAAAAAAGGAAAGGAAAAAAAGTAAGAGTTCTGAATCTGGCTGTCAATGAGGAAGAAGAGACTGGTTTCAGCTGCTCTCCTTCTCTCACACGACAGCAGGATGCAGGAGAGGTGCCTCGGAAACTGCCCAGTCCGCCCAGGCAGGCACAGGGGAACATCCATCCCCCTGCTAAAGGATATCCCTCTCTGCGGGGGGACAGGGCATGGCCTGGAGCAGGACAGAAGCATCTGTGCCCTCTGCTGTGAAGCCTGAGAGCCACCAGAGCAGCAAGGATTGCTGCAAAGCTCCCAGAAGCTTGGTGGGCCCCTAGCAGCCTCACCCAGCCTGCCCCTGTGAGGAGCTGATGTCCTTCCCAGAAATGACAACTAGGAAATCCTCACACTGCACAGGAGAGCACAGACAAATCTCTGCCACTTCTATCGCTGCATGGGGCTGATCCAAGCCTTTATCCTGCAAGTCCATGTCAGCATGGAGAGAAATAAAAACATTTTCTGAGTCCCTTGGAAACACCCATTTCCTTCAACAGCTCTGAGGCTGCCCATACCATGTGCCTTACCTCCCCTCTAGTGGGAATGTTCAGACATTACCAGACACTTCATTGGCAATTTACACTTCAGGCAAAGAAATTTTGTTCTAGCATGAATTTTAAAGCTGTTTTAAAAATGAAAAAGAAGTATTTGAAAGGATTTCCTCTGCTGAAAAAATCTGTCATATGCATAGCTGCATGTAATCTATTACAGAACTACGGAGTTCATCCATGAACCATCCATGGTTCATCCATGTCCTCACTGATAATTTCTCCAGCTGTTTGTAATGCTGCTTGTTTCAGCTCAGCCTGCATTTAGAAGAAAAGCCCCATGTTAGTGATTCTTCATATTTACAAATTCTAGTGGCAGTTCTGTAAATGCTTTGTGCTAAATTTAACAACTACTGCTAAGAGCATTATAGAATGATAGCATGGTTTGTGTTGGAAGGGACCCTGAAAACCACCCAGTTCCAACCTCCTGTCATGAGCAGGGACATCCTCTGCTGACCAGAGTGCTCAGGACCCCATAGATTTTGGCCTGTAACACCCCTTGAGCACTTCCAAGAAGTAAAATTCGAGTAACAAATTGTGCGTGTTGGAGGTCTGAAGGATAATGCCTTTAATATTGAAAATGTCCAAGTTCACTTAAAGGAAAAGTTACTCCTCATATTGACAAAAGGAGCTTTTCCTGAAGCATAAAGGTGTTTGCAGTTTTAGCTTCAAAAGCTGCACAGATGTTTCTTGACCATTCAATCCAGAATGCAGACATTTGTTTTAATTACAGAACTCTAGGAAGCAGCAAGCATATTAACACAATCATCTAAATATTTATTTCTTAGGTCAACAGAAAGAAACTGCTGAATCTCAGCACACAGTAAAGTTTTAACTCTGTTCTTTAAATTATCCTTATCCTTCTGAGGATGGTAACATAAAGGAGTGTGCCAAGATAACAGAGAATTTAATGACTTTTCATGTTTACTGAAGTCAGCAGTTTGCAGCAGCAGCAAAACTGGTTTTGGGTGCCACAAGGAGCTGTATGTTTAATGTGAAGCACTTCTAGCACAGATATTTGCTATGCAGAGTCTGAACATGAGAAACCCTCACCCTGCCTACTCATGGCTACCTGAGGAAAGCTCAGAGCCACCACATAAATCATGTGCAAGGATGAGCACGTTTCTGCTCTAGATAAAAGTGAAAACATCCCACAGACCCTATCCAAGTCTCCTTGTAATGATACATTTTCAAAAATGGCTTGTAGAATATGCTACTGAACATCTAAAAAGCTTTAACTCTTAAACATCAAAACAGTCTTGAAATTTTTCTTCTTAGTGATTACACCAAGACTTCTCAAACTGCTCTTAATTCATAAAGGCTATCTGCTAACTGCTAGTCAGCCTGGCAGAAAAACTTGTTTCTTGACCTCTACCAAAGTAAAAATGATAGATCCAAGACAATTTGATTGAAGAGCCTGTTCTCCAAAGTGCACAACTCCTGCAAGGTGAACATCAGACCAAAGCATTGCCTCCAAGCTGCTGCGAGGCTCAGTCAGTTGGGACTGGGGCTCATCTGAGACTCTGAGACAGGATGGGCCCAGACTTCCCCAGTTCAAAAGGGGTCAGGTATGGATGTGGGGTAACTCTGCAGCCTCCCCATGCAGGCAGGAAAACGGTCCTCCACCAGTTTGTGCAGGGTAGATACAAATTACTTCTTTCAAAATGAAAGACAAAATGAAGGAAATTACAATTTTACATCACAAAATCCCCTTATAGCTTTTGGAAAACTCAAGTCAGATGGAATTAAGGTATACCCCAAAAATTATTTAAGTAACTTATTTATTTGTATTATTTATAATCTGTTTAGGTTGTTTGAATGACCTACACTGCATCTAAAATTAGGTTTTGTAATACGCTGGTGAGGAAATCCACAACTCAATCAACTTACAAATCAACTTACTCAAGATTTTCCTGCTTGGCAGGTCATTAAACAGCTGTTCAGCATTGATCTGCAGAGCCCTGTAAAACTCCTGACAGTGTCTGTCTCCTTTCTTTTGGAGGTGTTTTAGCAGATCTGAGAGCCTGGTGTGGAGTGATGCTTTTGGGTTCCTGAACTGCAAGAGAAAAGTGCTCATCAGAAAAGAGATTAAAACAGAAGAGACATTAAAAGATCAATTTTACATCACTATGCCAGTTATGCAGCTTCTTTATAGAGCTTCTTTGATATTTACTAAAAGAATTTGCCAAAAAGGGAAACATAAAAAGGACATACATGCAGTGCACAGCCCTGAGCTCCATGTGGTCAGCAGAATCTGATGAAGAGCAGTTTGTCTCTGCCTCTCCTTCTGCTTTTTTCTGTCCCAATCAAATGAAAGACACTCTGCATTTGACATCTTCCCTGCATCCAAGCTGATATGGTACTTGCTATTGTACAGTTTAATTCTGGCAGCTGTAGATAGAATATTTCAGCAAATCTTATCATGTGAAATAAAGTTTGATGCTTCCAAGTTTGCTCTTAGCTGCCTAGTAAGGATCCTCTAAAAGGCACTTTATACTGCTTATCCTGGTCCCAGTACTGGAGTGTTCATCATCCCAAGATTTCATACTTCATGAGGTTTTTTTGTTTCCAGCCAATTAACTGCTGTACACCCACTTCAACAGGCACAAATCCCCATTACTCAGGTTGGCAAAGAGTTGCGGTGGGAAATACATTTTTTCTGTAGTGCTAAATGTGATGAGTATTAGCAGACCTTACAAAGAGAAGGAAAATGCATCTCTAGCTTTACACATCAAACCATTTTCAGTTTATTGCAAAAAAAATCCAAATCCATTCTCAGCAAAACACCATATTTCATAGCAGCACAGTGGAAAACCTTTGTAGCATACTGAGTTGGGAACAATTGCTGCTTGAGGGGGACAAGAATGCCACAGATTTTACACAATACTTCTTATTCTGACAAAATTCCCACAAGGTCTTCCAGATACAACTGAGATTATAAGCTTCCTAAACATTCAATAGAGTTGACACAAACTTGCCTGAATCTATTAAAAAGCAGTTCATTTCTGCCTAAGTGCAGAAGTCACAAATCATGTTTCAGATGCTTTATGGGTTTATTTTGAAACTCTTGAGGGAAGTGGCAAGACTGGCTCAGTAAATGATCTAGCTCTGCTCTACACCACAAAACACTATTTGTCTCCATGAAGTTTGATTCTGGTAGAATTGGACCTATTTTTCCTCATGTTCAAATAATGATACACCAAAACTCTTTGCAGACACGAAGCCAGCAGAGGGTAAGCACAAACTATTGTAAGTAGGACTGTGGAAGCTCTTAGCTGACTTTAATTTTGTCTCCACACAAGATTAGAAGGTTTTTTCTCCCCAAAAAGAGCTACTCATTTTTGAAAGCTTCACTTCAGGGAGAGTGGCCTTCCTCCATACATGGTGGCACCACCGCAAGATATTATTAACTCCACCCACTTCCCACAGCTCCACACTTACTAATGGGACTAACACCCCCCACTTCTCCACCAATACTTAAAATTATTAATTTGTTACCAAAACTGATTGAGCTAATATAGATGATTTTGTGGGCAGAGATGGATGCAGCACAGACCATCTGGTGTGCCACTCCACACCAGCTCATGGGAGGAGACAGGCATGTCAGGCATGCGGTCACAGGATGGGTGCCCTCCTGCCCAAGGACTGGCTGCCCCTGATCATGGCAGGCACCGTGGCATTAAACTGCTGTTGAAGAGAGCATTCTCTCCCATGACCACTTGGCACAGGGAACGTGCCAGCCCTGTGACTGCTCCTCTTGCATGAGATGCCAGACATAAGTGGTCAGCAAGCAGGAGGTGAGGCAGGCTGGCTGCATGTGGCACCAAGAGTTGTGTCAGGAAGAGGGCAGCTGGGGTAGTGAAGCAATACAGCAGTCAGAGACACAGCAAAACTCCTCAAATTACCTTTTCTGCTTCTTCATTGGTAAGAATTTGGGGATAGACTCTGTTGAGCTGAAGAACTATTTTATCAACCACTTGCTCATTCAGTCGGCTAGTGCTTGTAAGGAAATACATGTCATGCTGCAGCCGATGGCAATACGACTTGTCTAAAGATAAAATAACATAGCAGAAACCAATGCAGTTAATTAATAAGCCATTTTAAAATTCCATACATTTCATTTTACTACCACTGATTAAATAGCTCAAATAAAATTATCCCCACCACCTAATATTAGCAAGCTGAACTATCTGTTAGGGAAACATAACACTGCCACGTGCTTTCAAAGACTCATCCACTTGAAATTACACAAATCAGAACTTCTGGCTGGCCACTCCTACTGCCTCTCTCCTTCCAAAGGGAGAAGGCTATGAATCATTTAGAAGTCAAGTTCTGATGGATATTTAATCAAATACAGCCTAAAGTTAATGAATTACTGCAGATAAATACTCTATCACTTATGAAATCAGATTATGACATTTAAGGCACCTGCAAGATGCTTCTCCCATCCAGTGTGACCCTCCCATTCTGCTCCTGGAAATAATAAGGCTCATAAAAAAACTTATCATACATCACCATAAGGTGCCAGACTGTCTGCTAGAGCACCTGCAGAAAAAGCATCAGGGACACCCTTTCTTAAGTTCTTCAAACAGGGAGCTTGTCAGACACAATTCCCAACAGAGGAAGGGATGTGCCAGACCCTGGCAGCAGCCAGAACGTTGGACAAACCCATATAAAGCACTGTGCTTGATGTGCCTGTGCTGAGGTGTGTGGCCCTGAAAGCTGTCACTAGCCACTGGCACAACACAAACTGGAACTTTCAAGTTACACTGGTTGCTAAAAACCCCCTTGTAATTTTGTTTCTGCTTAACTATTTTTAGCATAAAACCCTCATGTTGCTTTCTGTACAAGAAACATCAAACAGGATTTTGTTTGTCACAGTCCCCTGCGTACATTTCTTCTTCGTGATCTACTTTCACTGCCTTTCTGGATAAAGCCACAGGGCCCTAAGGAGTTGCACTGCCACTTCATATTTATCACAGTAAATTAATAAGTACAGCTGCATTTCAAGGCCGAGATCAGCCCTTCCCTGCCCCGCTGCAACACACAAGCACTCTCATCCACACCCAGGTCCTGGGAGCTGCCAACCACCTTTAGTCAGGCAGGTACACCCTCCCAATTCATAAGTCCAATAATATTTACATAAGGACTCTGGACACTGTCTCTGACACCACTGTATCTTTATTATGGTTTCATCTTTGGTTTGTTTTCCCCTTAAAAGCCTTCTTAAGTTTATCAAGGAAACAAACAGGATCATTAAGGAGATAAATTTAAATACAATAGACATGAAAACCGGTGCAGCTCTCTGACGTTCCCTGGAAAACACAGAACTTGCAAACATCCGTTCCAGAAAGCTCCGTGGTGTCTCCTGTGCAGTGCAAACATGAGTTGCTACTCACTGTAAAACTCCTGGGTGATTTTCATAAATATACAGAAAAGCTGGCAACTAAAGCCTGGAAGGTTTGGATCTGATGATCAAACCATTTGTACATGTCGATAAGAACTCCTTTCAGAAGCATTTCAGGAAGAGGAAAAAGTCTCTCTCAACAAAATGTTAGCTTAACACTAATTTAGTTTTGCCTCTTCCCTTTCAAGATCACAAGAAAGGAATGCCAAGGATTTAAGACTGGCTGCAGAGAAATGGTCTTGAGAACACCAGATAGCACTGGTTACCAAACGCACCCACGAAGAGCAACTGGTCTGTTCCTCTGGGCTGAGAGGATGACAGAGAGGTGAAAAACAAGATGCCACCCTCCTCTGCTACTGTCACCCACTGCCATGTGCTACTGGCAAGTTACCAGAAGTCAAGGGACTCTGACAGCAAGTCAAGAGAATCACAGAATCATTTAGGTTGGAAAAGAACCTTAAGACTTTTGAGTCCAACCATCAATCCAGTACCATCACCATGTTCAGGACTAAACCATGTCATGGAATGCCACATCCATATGTTTCTTGAACATTTCCAGGGACGATGACTGCCATGGGCAGCCTGTACCAGGCATGGGCAACCCCTACCAGGCCTGGGCAATCCTTTCAATGAACAGATTTTCCTTAATACACAACCTAAACCTCCCCACGTGCAACCTGAGACTGTTACCTCTCATCTTGTCACTTGGTGCTTGGGAGGAGACTGACACCCACCTGGCTACACCCACCCGTCAGGGAATTGCAGACTTCAACAACTGCAGTGAGCAAAATATTAAAAAGCATTTGATACTAGAGTGCGACATTAGGTTACACACAGTCCCAATCCTCCAAGATCCGTAAGACGGCTAACACAGCCGGAGTCACCAGGAAAACTAACCTGTGTGCTCCCCAGGTGCACAATCCCAGCGAGCTGGATGGAGGCTGGGAGCAAACAGCAGACTCCGCCGCCACACAGCAGGCAGCCGGCGTGCCAGGGCGTGAAACGTGGCACGGCCCGGCTACCCCGGGCACGCCAGGCCGGGGCTCCGCACGGCCCTGCGGCCCCGAGCCCCGCGCCCGGCCCCGCCCCGCCCGCCGTCCCGCGGCCCGCCCGTGCTGGGCCCGGCAGCGCTGCCCGGGCCGGGCCGGGCCGGGCCGTGTCCCGGGGCGCTCAGTCCGCCCCACGGCCGGGCCGCGGCCGCGCACCGAACCGCCGGGGCCACCGCGCTGGCGGGGCCACTGCGGGGCGCGGCGACACCGCGACATCGGCGCTGCGGCCCCGGAGGCTCCGCCGGGCCTGGGAGCGCCGCGGCCCTCGCCAAGCCACCGAGGATCCCCGGACCCTGCCCGTCCCGCACTCACCGGCCATGGCAGCCCCGGCCCCGCCCGGCCCGCGGGCTGCGGCCTTCGCACGGCGGCCTTCGGCCTTCCTGCCAGGCCGGGCCGGGCTGGGGCGGGGCGGCCAGCGCTGGGCACCGCCTCCCGGGCCCGGAGGCGGCGGGGGAAGCGCTGAGCGGGGGAAGCGGAGCGCAGGGCCGGGGGCAGCCGGGGCGGGGGTAGCGCGGAGCGGGGGAAGCGGAGCGCAGGGCCGGGGGCAGCCGGGGCGGGGGAAGCGCGGAGCGGGGGAAGCGGAGCGCAGGGCCGGGGGCAGCCGGGGCGGGGGTAGCGCGGAGCGGGGGAAGCGGAGCGCAGGGCCGGGGGCAGCCGGGGCGGGGGTAGCGCGGAGCGGGGGAAGCGGAGCGCAGGGCCGGGGGCAGCCGGGGCGGTAGCGGGGCAGTTTTCCCTGAGCCCACACCGGCGTTTCCATCGCCTTGACCTCCGAGGTAAAACATTTCTTCAAATGTCTGTGCTCACCAGTCCGTCCTGTGTAGAAGCATGAATTTACACTTGCACAGCCACAAGTTTTTAAACAATTAATGCATGATTGGTAAACCCGCGATTTCCTTTTCCAGAAGAAATTACAGTGTCCAAAATACCATGTCTGCATCTTCACAACATCCATGCAGAATTTATATTTTCCTTGTGCTGCAGCACAACGCACATTTAAGTGCAGCTGGACACGTAAGGTGCATTGGGCAGGTAGTGACTCAAGCCCAAGGAGGAGGGACAATTTAGCTCATAGAAAAAGTTTCAGTGAAGCATGTAATTAGTTGGGATAGTTAACTTTCTGAGTGAAAAAATACAAGCAAATCTGTGGATGTAAAACCTGCTGTTTGAACCAGATTTCATCAACAATTAATTACCTAGCAAGGAATGGAAGAGAATATGCCTTACTAGGGATAAATGCTGCAGAGGATTGAAGCATTATCAATTGCTGTGACATTCATGGTGCATATCCTTGAGAAGATTAGTAGAGTATATACATCCTGAGTTTATCCTATTTGCCCTCCAGAATCCAGATCATCCTAACAGCACGAAAATACGTTTTAAAATTATTATTATTATTATTATTATTATTATTATTATTATTGCCCATGGAGACCTTGATCATATCTGCATTGGTGTGATTTTTGGCAATGTATTTTAGTAAAGAAACAGAAATCTTGGGAAAAGTAACTTGGAATTTTGTAATTTCTTTTGTGATATATTTTAACATGATTTGGGATGGGGCTGAGCTACCTGGTACAGCGGAAAGCGCCCCTGCCCATGGCAGGGGTTTGGAACAAAATTATCTTTAAGGTCCCTTCCATTCCAAACCATTCTTGTATTCTACGATTCACTTCCATATGCATATTAAAACATTAGAGCAAGAGGGGTTGCCTAATACTAAGCAGCAGTGGGAGAATGCCATGCTGAGGATTTGTTTTTATCACCCCTTTATACCTCTGTGAATTCACTGCATTTTGTGCTCTACTAAAAAGTTTCCCTGGAAACTTTTAGAAATTTTAGAAGTTTTAAATTTAAAAGCTTTTAGAACTTTTGAAACTACTAGAATCTAAACCACTAAACAGAAAACCTGGTCATCTTAGTGCGATATGGACTGAAATCTCTAATATAAATCTACATGTTTTTCAGCACACAGTGATTCAAAGCAAAGTGAGTGAAGTGGAAACGAAAATCAATCCCTCAGGAATGCTGCGATGTACAGTGCCGCACTGCCTGGAGATATTTTTGTCCCGCAGACTCAGATAAATCCCCAAGAAGCAGAGGTTAAACATATCTGCTCTCATGGCGGTGGCACGCAAGATCTCTGCGGCAGGATCGCGGTCAGGCTCGCTTTGCATGCAGGCCTGGCGGAGCCCCCAGCAGAGGCGGCGGCAGGATCGCTGTCAGGCTCGCTTTGCAGGCAGGCCTGGCGGAGCCCTCAGCAGAGGCGGCGGCAGGATCGCTGTCAGGCTCGCTTTGCAGGCAGGCCTGGCGGAGCCCCCAGCAGAGGCGGCGGCAGGATCGCTGTCAGGCTCGCTTTGCAGGCAGGCCTGGCGGAGCCCTCAGCAGAGGCGGCGGCAGGATCGCTGTCAGGCTCGCTTTGCAGGCAGGCCTGGCGGAGCCCTCAGCAGAGGCCGCGGCCGTGCCCGCGCTCCTCGGGAGGGAAGGGGGGGCTGGGCCGGTCCCAGCGCCCCCAGCGGTGACAGCCCCGCCCCGCGACAGCCGCACGCACAGCCGGGCCGGGAGGCGGCACCGCCCGCCTGACAGAGCCCAGAGCCCTTCCAAAACCCGCGTTCACTTCAGAGCTCTGCCTCCGCACTCAGCGGCCGTGCGAAGTGATCTGCACAACGTTCCTTTTCCCAGCAGACTGATTTCCTGCTTAGCTAATCTCAAAAGCCTGTTTCCTCCCGCTAAAGAGACCGAGTTGTTTATTTAAGCGAACTATTTTACTTGCTAAATAACACCCTTGTCCTGGCAACATTATCGTGTAGTGTTCTATCTGTTAACTGTTGGATCACAATATGCTTTGTTGTTTTCCCACCGCCAGAGGACTGAATCTCTTTAGCAACAAATTAAATCTAGATAGCGCAAGCAGTTCCTCTAACAGTCTTTCTTTGTGCTTAAGAAAATAACAATCAAGTGTTTCTTAAAAAGGTCAGATAGCGCACTAGGCTCCCTTCAGTAAGTTTCAGTCAATAATTTACAAAAAGAAGTTCTAAGAAGGGGGGAAAACGTGAAGGCAGTGACGGGTTGGCCACTCCCGTCAGAGCCACTGCCCCTCTGTCTCTGAACTCCTGTTCCCGCAGATTTGCACCTTTCAGACCCTTGTTTTGCCCAAATTCCTCGCTACGAATGTGCACTTACAGCTTCTGTAGAACATCATCCATGGGTTTCGGGGTGGGTGTGTGCCGTGCCCGGCACACGTCCCACGCGGGGCGGCCGCAGTGCGATTCTCCTTGGTGGGATAAGCGGAGGTCACGGGCAACTTGGAGAAGCGAAAGTAAAACAGGGAGGGAGCGAGTCCAGTTGTGACAGCCGGCAGAGCTCCGCCGGCAGCGGGGGGCGGCTGCTCCTCTGCGCCTGGGAGGCAGCAGCAATTTGCTGATGATTTAAGGGGACGTATAATTAGCTCTGAAAACCAAGATGTTTGTTTGCTCAGAGTTATGAAGGCTTTTTGTGTGTATGCTAATAATTTCTAGAGTTGCTTTGCACATAAAATGAGTTATTTTCCAGTATTATTTATATAGTCAGAGTATGATTATTCGTATGATTACTTTGTTGGCTAGAAGGAGATGAAGAAAAGAATTATCTGACTCCAAACACAAAAGCAGAAGCTGTGCTGCAAATTCCCAGCTCTTTATTCCTAACCAGTTAAGCCAAACCGTGAAATGGGAACAGAACTGACTTGGATGAAACTTCCCCCAGAGGGTGCTGGCAGTGCCCAGGCTGCCCAGGGAATGGGCACGGCCCCGAGGCTGCCGGAGCTGCAGGAGCCTTTGGGCAGCACTGCCAGGGATGGACAGGGTGGGGTTGTTGGGGGTTCTGGAAGGGCCAGGGGCTGGACTGGATGATCCCTCAGGGTCCATTTCAGCTCAGGATATTCTATGATAGCCTGGAGCATCCACAGGTCTGGAAACCCCTGGTCAGTTGTAAGTTCCTGTATACTCACCCTGTACCTGGTGAATTACACAGCCCTGGTTCTGCTCTATGCTACCCTATCATTGGAAATTTTAACAGCATAAGTGAAACAAGAAGATGATGCAGATAATGAAAAAATTGTGTATCTCAGTCCTGGCACAAGGGAATAATGGGCATGTAGAATAAGTGTATAGTGATCACAAATAGTCCTGGTAAATACTGCACAGATTCTGGAGAATGAACCAGCTTCACAAACATGTTCAATACTGCACTTGGCTCCTTATCTAAAGCACAAATCAAATTGTACCCATGAAAAAATACTCAGCTAATTATTTTTTAAAAAACCAAACAATTGAATTCTTTGAAGATAGGAAGCAAATAAAATTGTTGGAGCATCCTCCCCTTAAAATAGGTGTGTAAATAAACAGTTGACAGATTTGGCAAACTGACATTCTGCAGAGCTGTGGGAAGGGAACAAAGCCACTTCAGGTACACGTCCTCACATGGAAGTCATCCCTGTGCCAGCTCTGGGCCTCATCTGACCCCCAGAGCCAGGAATGAATGAGAGGATGGTGTGCAGCCTGTGTGAAGTAAAGCCCTGGGCATGGGTTAGTGTAGGTCCCTTAGAGCTCTTGGGTTGATGGAGCTTGATGGAGAGCTGCTGGGGTGTGATGGCCTGCTCAAATGGGTGGATGCCTTTATCTTTTGTAAAAGGGATTTTGGGGGTTTTAGTTGTTGTAGTCATAGTCTTGTTTATGTTTTCCTCTTTAGTTAAATGTTTACAAAAATCCATAGGAGAGGCCTTTTTAATAAATAAAGAAAGGGGAGTCGTGGAGGCCTGTGGACCTGCTAAGGGATTTCCTGCGTCTTTGCCCTGGAAGAATGTCCACTGGAACTTCAACCTCTCCCATGGACTCCTGTGACATGCTGTCAGTCACCCTCAGTGCCACAGCCCCTGTTGGCCCATTGGCTGTTCAACTGCCTGCTAACCACATACGGTCACAGTTCTAGCAGTTTCTATGTACCCTCGTTTGTCTGTACCCCTGTCTGTTTACCCTTGTGTTTCCCTTTTGGTCACTTTTCCTTTCCTTTCCTGTCTGTTTACCCTTGTGTTTCCCTTTTGGTCACTGTAATATTTTTCTCACTCACACCATCAGGTGATTGGTTGTTGCTGTTGGCTCTGCCCCTTTGGAACAGTATATAGTCCTGGACCCTCCACCTCTCCCTCTTTGTCCCTGGACCCTTTCAGAGTGTAGGTGGAATAAGCTACCACTGGAAACCTGTACAAAGACCCTTCTGCCTCCGCTGTCTCACACAAGCAGCTGCTGTGTGTGAGGGTGGCATTTGCTGTGTGCTTGGTGGAGTGCTCTCCTTGTGGGGACACTTCAGGAAGGTTTCAGCAACCAACCATCTGCCTGTGCTGCAACAGCTTAGAGGCCACTGCAGATTCCAGCTCATAGATACAGCATAAGTCCTGTGGGAAACACTTCTGTGAGCAGTGCGCAAGTCATCAGTTTTACAAAATGCACAAGGAAATGCAAGTGTTCTGTAGCAGAAATAGGAGCTTGAATCCAGCTGGAATCACTGGCCAGCAAACATTTAAGGTTACAAGGTTTTAAATGTCTATTTTAGAGTCTCAGCTGTTTTTGTCTCCTTCCTGCACAGCACTTACTTCCCTTCTGACAATAAATTACATTTGCACGAGCAATAAAGCTAACTCCAGGGGGTGCAGCCATCAGAACTAAGCACAGGCCCAGAGGAAGCCAAGCCACAAATCTTTCACAAACAGTTTGGGTGTTGCTTCCTTACCTTGATGTAACTTTGCTGCCTCTTGCATTAGCTGCCCAAGTCAATGACAGTCATTTAGGGACAGTGAATTTACCTGGGGGGCTTCCCATGGCTGCAAGCATCCCTGGCAGCTCAAGGGTGCACTTTTTGTCCCATCCAACATTACTCAGCTTCTCCTCATGCAGAACAGGAGCCAGGCTGTCTGCTCGCACAAAGTGTTGACCCAAACATCCCAACGGGGAATTTATTTCACTTGCAGTCATATTGTTGCATTTTAAAGCCAAATAATGAAATTAAAACACCAGGGAACTAAATAATGGAATTCTGTGAGCATAATCATAGAGATGGGAAGAGGAAGGAAACTGAAAAGAGCTACAGAGAGGCAGCATCAAGGATATCTTGGCCACCCTTCACATGTGTACCTTAAACATAATATTGCCAGTAGGGCAGATCACCTCCCTCCTATGCCTGTAACTCTTTTTAATCCTAGGCTGAGCTGTATCTTCTTTGTGAAGGACTTGTTTAACCATTTGTTCTACACTTCAGGGGATCAGAGAAACCCTCCCATTCTGGTACTTCTGAGGTTCTCTTCTCTCCCCTTATTAAAGTTAAATTTGCCCTTTTCCATTTTCTAAGGACCAGGCCCTCACTACCCTCTCAAACAAGAATTTCTTTCCTGTATCTCATTAACCTTCTGGCAGTGGGAACCATTCCCCTTTGTCCCCAGTTCCTCTCCAGTTCTCCTGGAGCCCCTTTAGGCCCTGGAAGAGGCTCTGAGGTGTCCCTGGAGCCTTCTCTTCTTCAGGTGAGCACACCCAGCTCTCCCAGCCTGGCTCCAGAGGGGTTCCAGCCCTTGGAGCAGCTCCAGGGCCTTCTCTGGATCTCTCCAGCAGCTCCATGTCCTTCCTATGCTGGGGCCCCAGAGCTGGACACAGAGCTTCAGATGAGATCCTGGCAGAGCAGAAGGACAGAACCATCTCCCTTGAACTGCTGCCCACACTGCTGGGTACAGAAGCTGCATGGGTCCGACAAGCAACTGAAAACTGCAGGCAGAATAGTTCACAGCACAACTATATCGTGATAAACACTAGCTAGTACTAACTGGATCAACTGAGAACTTAATTGGGTGGAGTGATGGGAAGTACATCCATTCTCCTTTTTGCAGTGCATAATGAGAAGGGTGTTGCAGGATGCACCTTGGAATAATGTACAGCAGAACTGAGTTTATTAGAAACAAGGAAAAAGCTCTTTTGCTGCAACTTTCATCTTACTGAGTTTCAAGCACGTGTTTTTGATCTCTGCAGAGTATGGCCAGGATAGAAGAGGGCATTTGCCAGCAAGCTACAGTAATTTGAATTTCAAAACTGAAGCTTCAGAACTGCAGGTTGTGAGATGATACCTGATTCATACCAAGGGAATATACCATAAAACAATTACTGCAGTCTGCTATAAGGTCTGTTTCCACCCACGAGAGAGACGTGATGATACCCATTAAACAGACAGCTGATGACAGTATTAGGTAAGGCTTCAATTGGAACAAAAATAACTATTAGTAGTATATACATCTATTTGCATATAAACAGTAGAAAAAGCACTGTATCTGTTACTTAACTACTCAAAAAGGACAAAACAAGAAAAAAACCCACAGCTTGTTTCCTCACATGATGTACAGATGAACAACAGGAAAAGAAGGCAGGCTTTCAAAAGCTACCTCAGCCCTTTATTTAGAGAGGTCTCATCGAGATGATGCTGCAGTGATCCCGAGCTGGCTGCTCCAGGAAGGCTGCACTGCTGTCCCCACCTGCACACCAACTGCTCTTGCACTGGGACACCAGTAGAAGCTACAGGAGGTCACTGGTGGGGGCCCCAAGGTGGGGACACCACATCCCTCCATGTGCCACCTCCTCTCCCTCAGGCTGGCAGACCTGCAGATGGGCCTCTGCTGCACCCAGTCTCACATGGTCTCTAAACACAGAGCAGATGAACTAAAGACCTTTCTGATACAAAACAATGCGGCATTTAATTAAAACCAAATTTTTTTGTAGTTCTATCATGCTACTTTGTAAAAATATGGGGGATTTTTCTTTCTGAAATTCTTACAAAACCCATTGATTCAGAGAAGACTGGAGTCTGAGGGGTGTGTAGTTATTATCAGCAACTTCATATGAGGCAAATATGCCAACTGGGTACCACCTCCCTAGCTGTGCAGAAGGGCATTATGCTTTTGCCACGGTCACACTGCACAGCACACCACAGAGAACAGCTCTGGACTGACAGCCCCAATATTCATATCTTTATTTGTATCAGACCTTGAAGCATTTCTCTTAAATAACCATCTTGGAATATAGAAAATTTACAGTTCATATGAATAATGAACTTTCTATGTTGTCTTTAAGGCACATATTTCTATCAACACTTCATTTTGGTCCAGAGAAGCAGTTGCATTTGAGACACCAGCTATCCAGGTATCTGGCAGGTTGGTTTGTTGTAACTATCCTTATGACTGTAGACTT